GAAACCAAAGGCTTCTTACCATGACCTCACACTGTCACTCAAGAGTGTCCACATTGCATGTGACACTCTGGGGACCTCCCTACCAGAGCCCCATGAGAGTCTGGGGTGGAGCCCACCTTGTGCACTTTCCCACAGCTTCTAAGGCTCTTCCCAAGCACCATTTATTTCTCTCATTCTCAAACTGTCAAGCCACTCACCGGCTGCCACTCCTGGTAAGAAGGGACATCGTTGAGAGCCATGGGTTATGATCTGGAGCCAGAAGCTCTGGCCATGGGGCCTTGGTAAAGCCACCTCCCACGTTTGAGCCTCTGTTCCTCACCTGCACAGTGGGCATAGGATGGCTCCCGAGCACGGAGCTCACACGCTGGGTGGCCAGCCTCTCCCTCCTCCCTATCTCTGGACATCTGAGATGAGCCTAGAAGAGCAGGGAAGGCCACCTCAGGTGCCTGCCCTGTGTTTCAGCCTCACCATCTCCATCATCCTGGGCCTCATGATCCTGCAGATGTGGATTGCCGCCAGCTTCTTCCTGCAGCCCAAGCTGGGCCCAGGGGACAAGCAGAAGCCCTTGGCTCTCAATAACAGGTGAGATGAAGAGGAATGGGGACGTGGCTGCGCTTAGGCTGTCTCCCAGTCCTTCCCCTTCACCCTTGGCAGGTTCCAGGGCCTCTCTATACTCTGAGAGGTGATATAATGGGCAGGGCTGAGCTCTGGAGTCAGAATGCTTGGCCCCCAATCCCGGCTCACCCCTTAGGAGCCCTGTGACCTTGTGTGAGCTTACTAAACATCTATGAACCTCAGTTTCCCCCTTATAAATCATTTTGCATATCTTAACAACATGTTATAAGGTTGGAATGTGTTCAAGTATGGACTTAGAACAATAGTGCCCAGCTCCTGGTGACCCTTGCTGATTCTAATTGGGGAAACCTGGGCACTGAAGGGAAAGAGAGAATCCTGACACCACCTGCCTAGAAGCTAACAGCCCATCAGAACAGACAGGCACACAGACAGCAAGGGCAGCAGACCCCAGAGGGTGCAAAATGATCTCCAGAGAAACATGGTCAATGGAGGAGGAGAGGCGTAGGTGGAGGAGGAGGAGCTGGGGTTGAAGGGTGGGGAGAGGGTGGTAATTGCACTGCAGATGGGAAGTTTGAGTAGGATGGTAGAATTTCTGCACTTATAGTAGAGGACATGGCCAGCAGCTATCACAGCATGACTGTAGGCAGGGAGACCCCAAAAGTAGGGTGTGTTAGGAAACTGAGGATATAAAATTGTCACCATACAGGGGTCTTAGATGCTGTGCGACAGGAAGGAGACACAAAATGACAAGATCAAGAGATGTCCTCTCTGAGGGGGACCTGACACTCAGAATGCAAAATTTGGGTTTTATCTCAGAGACAACAGGAACCATGAGATCCAGCAACCCTCTAGGAGATTTCCTCTGGGGACTGGAAACAGCTCCAGCTGGGGCAGATCCTAGTTGCAACAGATGGGGGGGAAGCCCCACCAGCTGGGACAGCCCTTGCACCAGCTGTAGCACCATTGAGATTTCCTCAAACCCTAAGGATCACATAAAACAAGTATAGTCCCCCCAACATTTGTCCTGGATTCTGCCCTGTGTCCTCTGCACTGTCCAGGGCTGGGAGATGGAGACTTAGCTTCCCCTACAGCAGAGTGTGAGAGCACAAGGCTAGGAAGCAGAGTCATAGGGTTTGGTTTTTCAGTGCTGGAGATTGAACCCAGGGCTTCATGCATGCGAGGCAAGCGCTCTACCCCTAAGCTATGCCCCCAGCCCTCAGGATTTGATGCTGGCTATGGAGGACTCCAGAGCCCGCCTGCCTAGCCATCTTGTTTCTGTGTGCAGGAAAGCCTTCCACAACTTCAACTACTTCCTATTCTTCTACAATGTGCTGCTGGGCCTGGGCGCCTGCCTCTCCAGGTTGCTCATCAGTTGCATCCTGGGCACGTGGCTGATTGCGCGCATCGACAGGACCATCATGCAGAGTGGCTATGAGGGAGCAGACATGGGTGAGTGACCAGCCCCTGCTGGTTACCTCCTTTGGGGAGGGCTGGACTTGCATCTTCCTGATGGCTGTCTGGAAAGACAAGACAGGTATGAGAAGCCTGGAGTGTGCACCTTCACTTATGCTCAGAGTTTATCCTCAGTGGAGACCATAAAACTGGAGCAATAGAAATACATGCTGCCCCATGGTCACAGGGAGTTCAAGGCTAGTCAATCCTGCCTCTTCAGCAGACATTTCCGGTATAAAGAAAAGGACGATAGTCAGAGATAGGCAAACTTCTTTCTGAAAGTGAGAAGTTTAATTTATGAATACACAGTCCTGAAGATTTTGAGAAAGTCCACATGTCAGAAACATTATTGTTGTTCATCGGAGCTTATTTAATGAAGAAAATGTTCTGTTCAGTCGGACACTCCCAAATCAAAGCCGTTCCTGAAGAAGCAAAGTTTTTGTTCTGCTTTTAGGCCAGATCACTCAGTCCCTCTGCCCTTCAGGGCCTGTAACCAAGGCTTTCTCAGTTGTAGCTAGGCTGCTGCTGGCCTCCTGGAGCTTCAAGTTCTCCATAAGGTGAAACAGATTAGGATATGATCTCAAAGCCTCCTTTCAGATGGTTATACCTCATTTCCTAAATTCTCAGCAAAGACTCAGGCACCCCTGGAGCTTATCATTAAAAGCACCAACTGGGCCATGCTGGGAGGTGTGGCCTGGCCTGATCTGCCGCTGGGTTTCAGGGTTCAGCGCGTGGATCGGCATGCTCTATGTGGACCATTATCACACCAACCCTGTGCTCGTCAGCTTTTGCCACATCCTGATCACAGGCCACAGGGAGAGGAAGCAGCAGAAGGCCATCAAATACTGGTGCCTGGACCAATCAGCAGGTAATGTCTCCTGCTTGAACCTCACTGGGTTCAAGGAGCAGGAAATGAACCCCCAGAGGCTCCCTGAGATGCTCCAGGTTTTCTCTTTCCTGCCCCTTTTTCTCTGCACTCTGTGTCCTGGGTGTCCTTCATCCAGGGAGCTTGGGAGGCTTAGCCAACTAGGGGACCCACTCAAGCTTTATGTCCTTGTCCTGCTGAATGGCCTCCACTGTTGTTCCTGGAAGTGAGCTCTAGTTCTGCTAGTGGAGTCTTCCAGATCCCATTTGTTTGAGATTCCAACTCATATTCCAGGCTGCATGCCAGACGCCTGCCAAGGTGGGCTTCAGTCTGGGTTATTCTGCTCTGTGGTTTCTCACAAGTGCTCTGGGGCGCCCCTGTATGTTCATTGCTATTCCAAACACTGTGGGGATCCAGGACCATGGGATGACTCACCTCCCTCATGTCCACACAAGTCCCAAACCAGCTCCTTTACCATATCTCTCACACTGAAGGCAACTCTTCCAAAACCCTTTGAGAACGGCAGAGGCAAACTTCCAACCAACCACCCCGCCTCCCATGCTGTGGTCCATCTGCTCTGATTCTATCCTAGGTCCCCGCATCTCAGCTAGGTCCAGGACGAGGTGGCGCCTGCTGCAGACCCTGATCAACAACCCCAGACTCATCATGCTCAGAAAATCAAAATCAGGACATGGTTCTCAGGAGTTTACCCAGATTCTGTTGACGTGCTCAGAGAGCTGACACTGGCTACTCACATCTGCTCCAAGGCCAGGTCAGGTCGTCTGCTCCTGAGAGAAGGCTCAGGCTAACCAGCAGCTATTCCCTGTGATGGGAGGGGGTGGCACAGGCACTGTCCACGCACATGGCAGACAGCATTGTGGCATGGCCACCTGGACTGAGGGTCGAAGTTTCAGGACTATTTTGCTCTTTTATGAAAAAAAAAAAAGATAAAAAACTAAAGAAAAGGTTTTTGAGCAAACTTTATCCATGGATACTTCTACTATCCACCATTGTTAAGAAGCCCAAAGCTTGACTCCGAGGCAGAACTTTGTCACTGAAGAAGGTGGTAAAATGTTTACATCATAAAACTCTGATTTCCTAGAACAGAGTGTGGTCCTCAATTCTATGGAGTCCTCATGGCTTTCTTCTTTCCAGTCTTTAGGGTGGTGGGAGAGAAGGAAACCGAACACCTGGGAAGATGAGCAGGTACAGAGCACTCTGTCCCATGGCAGCTGGGGGTGAGGAGTGGATCAGAGCTGACCTGGGCCTTGCTTGCAGAGAAGATGCTCAGACTCTCTCTGACCAGGGTGGGATCACCTGGGTGAACCACCTGTCTGAGGAAGCAGAGACGGGGTAGGCAGGCATTTCAGGCAGGGGACACTAAGACCAAAGTGGTATAAGCAGACATGCCCCAGCATGTGTGATGAGGGTGAACTTTGACGCATATCGGGGTACAGGGTGCCATGGGTTGGTTAGGACCACTCCAAGCACCCACAGATGCCGGGTCAGTAGGCTTGGACATTTGTTTTTGTGCAGAGTCCAGAACTTGCCCAAATTTTTAATGCTCAAGCATAAAGTATCTGATGACCCAAGATCTGTGTAAAGTTTGATCAACCATTCAAAGTCCCTCATGAGCCTGGGAAAGTGCCCTGAGGACCCCCCAACATTGTAGAGGAAAATCCCCATCCACCACATGAATCCCAGAGCAACTGTAATTTGGTTACCAGTATGAAGTACGTGGTGTAAACTTAGTCCTGTGGCTAGGTCTATTTGCCAGAGTTCTCTCTGTTAGCTTAATCTCCACAACCAAGCTTTGCCATTCTGCATTTAACAACAAAAAAACAAGGACTCCCATACCACACTTTGAAGCTGTTTGACATTGGCCAAATTACTTTGCCCTTCTCCATGTACTTTCCTTATCTATAAAAAGAAACCCCATAAGATAATACCCCTAGCAGCCAAAATTATTTTAAGGATAAAGTGAGTTAATAAATATGAACACTCTGAAGCTAGTCTCTATCTTATCCTAAACTCTTAAAAGCAAAAGACTTGACTTTGTAGGTTGCTGTGACTTGAATATGGGTTGTGTCTCCTAAAGGTTCATGTATTAAAGCCTTGTTCTCCAGGGTGGCACCTTTGGTGAGGCCTAGTGGGAGATCCTTAGGTCATCTGGGGTGTGCCTTCAAGGGGACTGTGGGACCTGGGTCTCTTCTCTCTGTTTCTTACCAGATGGAGTGGGTGTCACCATTTGCTCCCACCATTTGTGCTGCTTCCTTGGAGGCCCAAGGCAATGGGCCACTTGACTGTGGACTAGAACCTCCAAAAACACGAGCCAAAAGAAACCTCTGTTATTTATAAGTTAATTATTTTAGATATTTTGTTACAGTAACAGGAAGCTGACTTAAACAGATGTCATTTTCACATAAAGATATCCAAGTGGCTAACAAGTACAAGAAAAGGTGCTTCACGTTATATTATAACACATCAGAAGACACAAATTAAAACCGTGCTGTTATACCACCACATAATGACTACGATGAAAACTGGTGACACTATCAAGTGTTGAGGAGGATTCAGAGCCACTGGTACTTTTGTGCACTGTGGTTGTGAAAACTGTTATAACCACTTTAAGAAATTCTTTAATGGTTTCTTCTAAAGATATACAGATACAGACTCTATGACCCAACAATTCCAATCTTAAGTATATGCCCAAGAGAAATACCTACATATGTTCACCATGCAAAAGAATGGTCAAAAACATTATAGATATAGTCCCAAATTGAAAAAAAAAAAAACCAATGTGGTTCAATACTAAAAAGGATAAATAAACAAAATGGATTATGTTTTCAAATAATGGAATACTACACAGAAATAAACTATACTCATATTTAAAAATGTATGGAATTCAGGTTGCTTCCCGTCTGCTCTGCAGGCGCCAGGGCGCGGGGCCATGGGCTTGGGGCTCTTGGTGCGTGCGCGTGTGCGACGCTGCGAGCCTCCGCCACCTGCAGCCGGCGTGCGCCCCGTGACACAGAGCGGGGGCAGGGGGCTGACCGCCATGACCCCCCGGAGCCCCGCGTGAGGGGCCAAGATGCAGAAGTCTGCCAGCATCTGCTGCAGCCTCCATCTGTGAGTTGCCCCATCTCTCCACGCCCCTTGACGCCCCTGACACCACCGCTGGGCACCAAGTGGACCTTGTCCCTAGGGCGCCAGATGAAGAACATTGTCCACAACTACTCGGAGGCAGAGATGAAGGTCCGTGAGGCCACAAGCAATGATCCCTGGGGCCCGTCCAGCTCTCTTATGTCTGAGATCGCCGACCTCCCCTATAATGCTGTGGCCTTCTCGGAGATGATGAGCATGACCAGGGCAAGAACTGGCGGCACGTTTACAAGGCCATGACCCTGATGGAGTACCTCATCAAGACGGGCTCAGAGTGTGTGTCCCAGCAGTGCAAGGAGAACATGTGTGAATGTGAGTGAGAAGGCCAAGCAGCTAGCTGGTGGCCCTGCTGTGTGATGAGGAGCGTGCCCACGCACTCGAGACCGAGGAGAAGCTTGCACAGAGCGCCACGGTCTCCTCAGCAACAGTGGGCTCCGGGCCCCCGCCTGAGGCGGAGCAGGCCTGGCCGCAGAGCAGAGGGGAGGAAGAGCTGCAGCTCCAGCTGGCCCTGGCCACGAGCAAGGAGGAGGCTGACCAGCCCCGGTCCTGCGCCCCGAGGATGACGTCCAGCTCCAGCTGGCCCTTAGTTTGAGCCAAGAGGAGCACGATAAGGAAGAGAGAATCCATCGTGGGGACGACTTAAGGCTGCAGATGGCAATGGAGAAGAGCAAGAGGGATACTGGAGGCAAGGAGGAGTCATGTCTCACAGATCTTGCTGATGTCTTCAGGGCCCGGCCTCTCCACCGGCTTCAGACCCATCAGGCACCCAGCACCCATGGCTGCCCCCATCCCCACTGCCCCCTGCCTCAGACCCCTGGGGGGGAACTGTTGTCCCTCCAGCTGCTGATCCTTGGGGTGGTCCAGCCCCCACACCAGTCTCTGGGGATCCCTGGAGGCCTGCTGCCCCTTCGGGACCCTCTGTTGACCCTTGGGGTGGGACCCCAGCCCCTGTAGCTGGAGAGAGCCCCATGCCTGTCCCTTGGGGAAGCTCTGATGGTGGATCACCAGCTTCTGATCCCTAGGCTCCTGCACCTGCATTCTCTAACCCCTGGGAGGAGGGGGTCACTTGCAAAACCCAGCACCAATGGCACCGCAGCAGCTGGAGGCTTTGACCCAGAGCCTGATGAATTCTTAGACTTGGACTGACTCCCACAGCCCTGCCAGCCTCTGGGAGTAACACGGAGGAGCTGGAGCTGCTTGCAGGAGAGGTGCCCGCCAGCAGCCCTGGGCGTCTGACATGAGTGGGGTTGGTGGGTCTCTGGCTGAGGCTGTGGGAAGTGCCCCACCTGCCACTGCCCCAACCCCCACATCCCCCACACGGAAGACGCCAGAATCCTTCCTGGGGTCCAATGCAGCCCTCATGGATCTGGACTTTTTGGTGAGCCAACCCGGCCCCACTCCTCCAAGAGCCAAGGCTTCCAATCCCTTCTCGCCAAGTGGAACCTCTCAGCCCGTGCCCCCAGCCCCTGGAGCACCACCCACCTACATCTCTCCCCTTGGTGGGGGCCCTGGTCTGCCCCCAATGATGCCCCCAGGTCCCCCAGCACCTAACACTAACCCCTTCCTCCTATAATCCAGGTCAGGAGCGGACCTGGCCTGGCCGACTTCCCCCAACTCCTGTTTCCTGGGAGACAGTGTTATGAGTCCATGTGAAATGGGGGCACTCCCACCCCAGCGCCCTTCCACCCTTCTGTGGCCCACTCACACTATGCCCTCTTCCCACATCCCTAACCCATTTCCCCCAGAGAAACTGGACATGGGGGATAGGGAGGGGAGCCAGCCAGAGGAGGACCCCTTTCTGTGGCATTAAAAGAGGGAGGGACAGCTAGGGTCCCCCCACCATTCCCCCTCCCTCCAAATTCCTGACCCCTATCAGTGTTTGAGCCTCCTCATTCCCCCCTTTGCACCCCATGGTGAACTCTTGGTGATGATTTGGGCAACTTCGGGAATAAATGGCAATTCTCACGGGTGTGGCTCCCATATTAAAAAAAAAAGTATGGAATTCACAAACAATAATGAAAGAAGTCCAACATAAAAGAATCTAATCTGTGTGATCTCATTTAAATAAACATTTTTAAAAAAGAAAAACCAACTTGAGTTAAAGTATTTGATGGCATTGGGGAAGACAGGGAAATGACCTGAGAGGGTACTTAAGGGTGGATGCTGGAAGGTTAGTAATGCTCCGTTTCTGAGGCTACTGGTTCCTTTCAGATAATTCACTGGGGTATACACATGAGTCCCATACTTTTAGGTATGTATGTTATGTTTGATAGGTGCAGGTTCCACCAGTTGGACACAAAATTTTTTTTTTTTTTCTGGTTAGTCTCAAAGCCACATGGCATGGTGGTTAGTTCAAGATTTTTGAATTGCAGGGTCTAGATTCATATCTTGAATCCAACTTTTTGGTGCCTCAGAGATATAAGCCAATTTGCTAATCTGAGCATCTGATTCTTCATCTGTAAGATGGGTTAATGGTGGTATCCCCTCAGTTATTTGGGGAAATTGAATCTTCTCAATAAATATTAGCTCTTGGTGCCTCTGTTGTTCAGTTCCTTGTATACACTTCAGAAAAGATGGACAAGGGTAGAGGAAAGAGAAGGATGGGCTTCAACTCCAGAGACATTTTAAAGAGTTATTTTGTTATTTTATTTAATTGTTAATTGATACAATTTAATTGTTAATTATACAATTTATGGGGAACAGCGTGATATTTTGATATGTATATACAATATGTAGTGATCAAATTAGGGCAATTAGCATATTTTTATTACTTTATATTGGGAACATTCTCTCCTAGCTATTTTGAAGTATCAATACTATTTCACTATAATCACCCTACTTACTACATAGAACACTAGAATGTATTTCTCCTCTCTAACTATAATTTTGTACCCCAACCAACCTCAAAAGACATCTGTAAAATTAAGATTGAGAAGGGAAAAAATCAGAGATACGGAGTGGAGGTGCAAGAGAGTCCAGAGCCTTGGGCCAATTTTTCATTCCCTATCTTTCCCTGGCCCATCCCTCAACACGAGAGGAGACTAAAAAGGTGATCTGTAACTGGTTAGTCTTTCTGGCTAGGACATTGTGGAGTTGGAAGGAAACAGACATGCTATCCAAAAGCCAAGCACAAGCCTGAAGTGGTGGTGCACGCCTGTAATCCTAGTGACTCAGGAGTCTGAGGTAGGAGCATCACAAGTTCAAGGCCAACCCTGGCAACTTAGCAAGACTGTCTCAAAAAATAAGATGGCTAGAGATGTAGCTCAGTGGTATAGCACCCTTTCAATCCCCAGATCTGCAAAAAAGAAACAAACAAACAGCCACACACATATTTGTACATTTGATTCAAATACAAAACCAAAGGCCCAGAAATTTGGGAATAAAGTATGCTACATTCTTAGCAGTTAGATTATGGATTACTTTTGTTTGTTTGGATTTTCCCCCATTGAATTGTTTTCCATTTTTTTGTAACAAGCAAAACACCACACATCATATATCCATGCCTATATATTTAAACCCATGACATTCTATATAAAAAGGAATAAAGAAAACCAAAATTGCAGATGTGCCAGGAACCAGAACCTAGAATGTGTCTGGGCAGGGAAGACAGTGTGTTTCTGGTGTGTAAGGCTCAAGCCAGCAGTGCCTCCTTGGATGGGAAGGAGAAGAGAGACTGCAAATGATTCCTGGACGCTTTCTATTTTATATTGTGTTTTCCACCCCTTTCCTCAATCATTGACATTTTTTCTTTTTTCAGCTCAAATGAATTCAATTTTTATTATAATATTTCACCTTGCTAAAATACCAGACCAAAGAATGAGAACAAAAGTGTTTTCTACTCACTGTTTCTTGATTTCTGGAGCTGGACTGGACAGAACAATCGCTTGCCCTAGGAAGTTGGCTTAGGGAATATCTATTAGCAGTCTGTGAGGGATCTCTGCCAAGGGAGGGCTTCTCTAAGAAGGAGCTGGGTATCCCATACACAGCCCAGGGGAAACTTTGACCACCCTTCCGTCCCAACCACGAATATTCTCAGTTCTGGCCAAGCAAGTTTGAGCCTTGAATTCTCTGAACTCTGGTTTTTGGTTTTTTATGTTTTTGTTTCTAGGAGAAGACAGATTGATCTTTCAGAATCTTTCAGATTTCTTCCCTGCAAAGATTGATTTTCAACCAAAGCAAGGAAGAAACGATGGATTTTCTTGACCATGATGGCTCAATGCCACCTCTCAGATACTTTTCAGGACGTTTGGTGTACTGCTCAGGACAGCTCTGGGGTATTCTCTAGTACAGAAGAGAGACTGGAAGCAATTGGTGAAGTTTCACGACTCCACTTCGGGCTCTCCGGTTGCTAAGGGCAACCCCTTTCCCCGCGGAAGGCAGCGAGCTGAGCCCGCCCTCCGCGTTGCCTTGGAGACCATGGGTGTCCCGCGGCAGTGGCGGCGGGACTCGCCCAGGCGGACCTCAGAGGTGCTTTCAGCAGGTGCGGACGCGGCCAGCCCCGGGACAGGGCCTCTTTGCAATCTGGGCTCAGGGGGACGTTCAGGGGCTGCCCGGGCCGCTTGGGGGTCTCGGAAGGGGAGCGGGAGGACCCGGCTGGGTCTTCTGGGCACGGAGTAGGCACCTAATCAGTGTG